CGAGAAGTATAAAAAGTGAAGTCAAAGTGACAAAGATAACTGAGCTGATTGGAATTATCTATATCATACAATATGACTGGCTTGATCATTATAAGAAAAGATGACTATATCTTCTTACTATGCCAGCAATGTGGACGCTTTTTTCATATGTACTAATATGGAAATCGTTCACTAAACGAATTCTCATTTATATCATAAAAATAATTTTGTAAGTCAGGTGTACGCAGTGCGTGCCTATTTTTATTATCTGCAAGTAAAAGTTCCGTGTTTAATTACATATATCTGTTCCATATCTTTCACGAAATAACAATATGAGTCTAGTTCTAGAACCGACAATACAACACGAATTGGATAAGTATAGTCGCACTCGCTTGTATGACTACTTATATACATACAAGATTTGTACTTTTACATACAATTAGATTTGTACTTTCATTAAAAGGCTTCAAAATGCTTCAACCTATATGAGGCATTTATGTGATGCAAGATTTTGAGAATGATCATAATTTATTATGTCCGATTATCACTAATGCCTCTTCTCTGCATATTACGTAAAGCTATGGACTTCACTTTTTCGCCAGCGCTGTCCCCTTGGAGAGTAAAATCGTCTGGGGAAAATAATAGGGGCGCAATACAACCTAATTGGGTTAATCAAAACAAAATAATTTATATAGTACAGCCAGGCTATACAGTTATTAGCTACAGAGCTAATTACATTAGTAGTCTCACGAATTTTTTAGATCATATCAACCGGCTAAACTAGTCTTATAAAACTGTCTGCAGAGAGTATTGGCGATATAGAATATAAGACCTGGTAAAACCTAGCTGGTGTCCTGGTAGGCATTCCTCGCCTTCTTGGCACGGTTTACTGCCTCCTATCTATGACTGTTCTGCATCCTTCCTGCCAGGAATGTGTCCTCCCTACCACTCTAGCAAATAAATTAGTGTTGTATTTTAATTAGGACAAGGTGAAAATTTAGTTATAATTTGGCCAAAAAACAGGAGTAGACTTGATGAAAATTTTTTGAGATCACCATTGAAGCAATTTGAACTGAGCAATATTCATTATCTATATAATGCTTCATTGCGATCCATAATCCACCTATGACCATCAATTTTATGAACATTAACCTTAAAAATGTCTTATTTGTAATTACTTATTTTTGGCTTGCAATTTTACGTTAGAATGTAAATTTTACTATACTTATGAAAAAATGTTCTTGTCATTCCACACAAAATTAAAGATAGGAAATTAACCCTTAGCGAGTGATATTTTTGTCTTCCATGCTATTGTTATGCGCACTATGTGTTACTAAGGTCACAATGAAAAGACTAGCATTTAAAAAAAAAAAGTTTACATGACACTCTGGCCTATAGGAAGTCATGGTCACACACGATTTGATAAGAGATTGCTCAACATATTAAGCTGACACCATGGCAATCGACAATCGAGAAAGTTCTGGCCAGGGTCACATCCGATTGAAAAAAGTGTATTAAGTATCTCTTGAGATTATCTCCTAAAGCGCGCATAACATGAAATTTTCTCCTCAATTTTTTATACATCACTTGAAAGTATCTTGAAAATTACGAAGAGTAGTTAGTCTTAACAATTTGTTCACAGCTCATTTGTTCCCAAGTTATCGAGCATTTTGTATTTTCGTGTTATGACGTCATTTTAATTAAACATGTCGCAGACAAACTTGACTTTTATTGTCTTCCAAATGTTGTACTACTAATCGTGCCTTGTGAGAGCGTCCTGAAGGAGTGAAGGAGGAAATGGGAAATGCGATTTGTGTATTTTTAGACAGGGAAAATGGGATTTGGGTTGCTGGGACTGAAAATGAGAGACACAAAAATGGGAATGGGAAAACCCAAATACCTTTATAAGGGAGGGGGAGTGAATAGGTTTTCGGATCGTCGGATTTCACAGAAAAAATTGTTCGGATTTCGGATCTGGCGAATATTTTACACGAATTTGCGGATCTTATTAATACAGCGGATTGCGGATTTATCTAATATTTTGGCTCGGATTGTGGATTTAGCTTGCAATTTAGTTCGGATCCTGGATTGTGACTTCATAGTACAGCTTTTAGCGGATTCAAATTTAGACAAGATCATTCTCGGATCGCGGATTTTGCTTCAAATTTGGGTGGATCGGCGGATTTGTATTCCCCTATTCACCCCCACTCCCACCCCACCCCCCTTATAAAGACAGTTGTAGTTGGACATTTCAGAGTAAAATAATGAGAATTGGTATAAAAAGTCCAGGAAAACTAAATTTAACCAACATATGGCTAAATGAGGTCATTTTTCTGCTATTGTAAGTCAGTCATATACCTTTTTTCGGCAAAACTAGTTCTGAAGAGGGCAATGGACCATTTGCATTATAGACTAAATTTTGATCTAAACAAGTCTAGACAATAATTTCATCACAGCTTGAAAGACCATCACCATAATTTTCCAAAGTTTCGTTGCGAAATGTTGTAAAATGCGGATCAGTATAGCCTTGCGAAATTTGCAGTTTTCAGTCATTTTGTATTACAAACGGGAAATTGATGCCCCAACATCCGATTGGGCTGTCATTTCCCGTGCGTAATACAAAATGACTGAAAAACGGCAAACTTCGCAAGGCTATATTATCCGCATTTTACAACATTTCGCAACGAAACTTTGGAATATTACTAATTTTGTGATGCTCTTTCAAGCTGTGATGAAATTTTTGTCTAGATCAAAATTTAGTCTATAATGCAAATGGTCCATTGAACGCAGAATTTTGTTTAAAAGTAATCACGGAGATGAACCTCCTGCTCTGGGGTTTCAATTTCACAATGGGACTGGGAGTTGATCTGAAAAAAGGGCTGGGAAATGGGATTTACACGATCATAGTTTACTACACGATCATAGTTTACTACACGATCATAGTTTACTACACGATGATAGTTTACTAAAAGGAAATGGTGGACGATAACTTTATCTGCAGCATTCACCATAGAAATAAGAAAACATAAGAACGCAGCTTGCCCAAACCAGACCATTATATATAGGGCATACAGATAGCGATATCCACTCGTAGTTCTCCTGATTTTCTGACGTTGGTTTGAGCAGAGCAAAATTTCTGACTTTTAGTATCTTAGTGAACTTCAATGCGAAAACGTCCGTCATGATGCTAAACAAGGCCGCTATTCAGAATCGTCGAATCGAGGAGGGGAATCCAGTTGTAACTGCGTCCAGTTGTAACTGCGTCCAGTTGTAACTGCGTCCAGTTGTAACTGCGTCCAGTTGTAACTGCGTCCAGTGTAACTGCGTCCAGTTGTAACTGCGTCCAGCTCCATGACATTCATTTTTGTTCTGCAGATAATTTCCAAGGCAGGGGCGTGGGAAGCTTGATCAACATAGGCCAACGTAGGCTGGCACAATCCAACGAGGCGCCATGGTTGTTGGCGAGCGGGAAATTTTGAGTCTCTAGATCGTCAGAAATGTCTATTCCGGACCCTTTTATAACTGAATATTGGGCGCCTCCCCTCGCTTCCTACGCCTCTGTTCCAAGTGATCATAACGGTTGCCATAATAAATGTGAATAAGGTTGGTCCTAGTATGTCACCTTGTTAACCATTTATTATACATTCTAGTCGCTGCACGTGTTTTGATTGGTTAATTAATAGCTTACGTCTAAATGTGGAAATCACGCAACCTACACATAACTAAGTTATATCTGCAAGCAAATAACTGAGTTATGTGTAGGTTTGAGCTGGCTATATGTGATTTTATAACAAGCGGTAGTTTTAAATACAAGAATAAAAACAAACACGCCTGTCAAACAGTGCATGCAAAAAAGGCCAATATGCTTAAACTTCTTTAATTTTTATTCTGTTTCTTCTAAATTTTCCATGAACATAGAACATATCATTCTTACAAAACGTATGGTTTTTATTTTTGGAATTGCTACTTTTTGGCGGGAAAATGACGTCACAAACTTGGCGCCAAAAAATTAACAGTTAGCTATTGGTAATTTTATGCACTTATTCGATAGACGACATTGAAAGAGTCTTAAAACTGAAGTTTGTTTCGAAATAGAGCAATTCCTTGCGAAGATATTTCTCAAATTTCTAAAAATCGGCCATTTTCTTCCAGTTTAGCAACAAAATGGCTGATTTTTCGACCTTTGTATCGCTATATCTTCGCGCAAAATGGTCGTATTTAGAAATGTAGCAATTCGAAAAACAAAAAACATACAATTTTTAAGAATGACATGTTCTATGTTCATGGGAAATTTAGTAGAAACAGGATGAAAATTAAAAAAAGTTGAAGCATATTGGCGTTTTTGCATGCACTTTTGACAGGCGTGAAAAAAACAACATGAACGAACGGCGTTTCTGTGAATGTTTTTTTTTGTGTAAAAAAAGCGGACCTTTTTGACACTTATCTGTCGAAATTTAGTACGTAAATGAGTTTTCTATTATTTTTACGCTGTTATTGTGATATTTTAAATCTTTTCGCTGCTTCTTTTTTAGAACCAAATGTTGTTTTGTGCGACAAATCATTGTTTGCTGAAAGAGTTAATGAATGACCTGAATTATCAAGATATGAATTATAACACTTACTTCGACACTTACCTGAATTATAACACTTACCTCGACTTTGATCATTTTAGATATCGCAAAAACTTCATCCAATAACTGTTTATAATACACTCAAACGTTTGTGTGATTTCACCGACCGTGAACTTGGTTTTAAAGCCTTCAGCTAGCTTATAATTTTTGGCGATTCTCCAAATGACCAAATTTGGCAAGAATGTTCCATAGCAATTTTTCTAAAGACTGGCATCGAGGTTCGTGATCTAAGCTTTTCTGAGTATAGTCGCATATGAAGTAGAATGGCGATCATGTGATATATTTTATATCTATCATGTGATTTTAAAGTGCCACGTTTACAAGCATTACACTTCGATAGTTCTTTGAGACCCTGGCCAGCTTCAACCACCTTTCTTTGCATGGAAGAACCTATTGACCGAGGTTCCATTCTTCAGGTACAACCTGAGTTTCACAAAGCTGCACCACAATATGCCTTTCAACATTTCAGATGTCTCACTTTCATCGCACTCAAGTAGTAATTTCAATCCCCGAAGGCAAATTCCAGGAACCTTGTTTTTTAGCTTCAGAGTGGCAAATCTGACTTTTTCATTAGTGTGTGTTAACGCTGCCGAACCCCAATCCGGGGCGAAACGTCCGAAACTGACCACACCCAAAAACGACGCTTTCGCCATAGTGCTATCTATACCAAACCATAATAAAAGCTCCGTGTATGCTCGATATCCGTCCACTAGCGAGTTTCCACGAGTTATGAGGTAATATTTCAAGTACAATGTAGTTGTGCCAGTAAGTTCAATATATCGTATATTGATTTTGGATCAATATGAGAACGAAGTTTTCGGTTGGTTTCCAGCCTCGATGGGAGATAGGCAGCAATTTGCTCGTGTTGGATTGAAACCACTATCCAGGTTGAACGCGCTCTTTCTTTTGCAAAGATGTACAACTTGCCTTCCCGATCGGTATACGCTAGTTCGGTATATGATATGTTGGTTGTGATGTAGCCGGATCCCACATTGCTCGTGACTTCCTGACAAAAGCTCTTACACTTGTGAGGACCATCCAGTTCGGTATGGTCAAGATTGATATTTTTTGGCGCTGGTCCATCTTCCTCTTCCAAGGTTTCACCACAAGTTTCAGAGAGATAGCACGATGGTCTTTGTCCAAGACTTGCACTCAACAGCAGCGTCTGTGACGATGATATGGTCAATTTCATGCTGGTTCTTACTACGAGGGTAAACCCAGGTTGAATAGTTCTTTGCAACAGCATATAGCCAATTACTGTGGTCCCATGTTACAATAATTACATACTGTAGTACACGTATTACATATTATAAATGACAAAGTACAAATTACATAGAAAGGAACAAACGAAGGAAAGGATTGATAGATGGAAGGAAGGAAAGAAAGAGGGTAGGAAATGGCTAGTGTTCTTAAGTGACCCACAGTGGCTCGAATTATTAATTATAGGGTTATCTGACTAGTTTAGCATTTAGTTAATTCAGATAACCTGTGTCAACTTTTATTTTAATGGCGCCAATAAAATTATGTTATGTTAATTGTTGCCAATTGCAGCACAGTCATGATCGTCATGATTGAGTCTGTGGTGAGAGCGCTGGTTTAATTTGTTGCAAATCAAGCAAAATGTTCTGCATGTTTTGGGAATTTCAGTATGGATCATAATACATGCACCTGCACGGCAGCTGCGTGGTAATACAATAGGAAATCACTTTTGAACTTTCTGCGGGTGACATCCTTTCTCTACATTTGACATGCCGAACGTTCCATGTCCTGCACATCCTGCTAAAAATTACCGTTGATATGTGATTGTTCTATATTTCTGTGGACGAAAATATAGAACATCAGGAGGTGAGGAAATTTTGATTGTTCTTATCGGCATAGACGGAGTAGGTACAATGTTAGGATCGATCGTTACCAGACCATTTACAGCTTAAAGAAGAAGACGAGGTCAAGGAATTCATGCCAGTAGGTGATTGGGAGTAAGTTCTGTGATGTTAAGCTTCTAGTATTGCTTGCAGGTGCAGATCGTTAAACGAAATGGAAGATTTAGCATTACTTCTATCGAGCGACATTGAACTTGCTCCACCATTCGTATGCTGGAGGCCATAGCACCAAAGGGGATAACATGTCCCACTCAGGAATTGCAGTCAGAACCGATTATCAGTGGATCGTTATTCTGCTTTCTTCCTATGCATTTGTCAAGTTGATCATAACCGACGTCGTCAGCTGCATTGCTAAATGGTGCATACGCGGAAATCAGATTTCAGTACTGAACAATCGTACAACGCAGCCATCATCACGTACACCTAACTCGGTATGAGTTTCGCATCTAGCAGTTTTTCAAGCTGAAACACCATCTGGGTTGAGCGGGCAATAGTACAATGAATATTGTTATTATTATTATTATTATTATTATGAACAATATTTTAACACGGTACAAAAAAAATAATTATGTACACAATATAAAAAGAAAAATGGTGAGTTCCAACCGGCTGTTCTCACACAAGTAGAAATAAGAAATATATTATTTACAAGAAGATTATTTAAAATAGATAGAAACAAAGGCAGGATTACTTGATGTTTATTTGCATGTTTCAAGTTAATCTTAAAATTAGTAATAGTTGTCGATGCTTTTAGCGATGTAGAAAGGCAGTTGCAGACTTCCGCACCTCTACGGCTCTTATATAGGAGAATGCATTTTTCATATTATTTGTTTTTGGGTTAGGCAATATCAAATCGGCTCCTGACTGTCTTGTGTTATGGTCGTGTACGTCACTCACATTTGTGAACATATCACACAAGTAATTGTGGACCAATTTGTTTTTTACCATGTACATGGAAATTGAAAGTTGTTGTATTCTTCTTTTTTCGAGGTTCGGAACTCCTAGCTTATTTAATATATCAGCCGATCGTGTCGTGTAATTCTCACGTGTGATTATTCTAAACGCTCTGGTTTGTAATTTTTGTACTTTACCTGCTAATGTTTTCCCTATAAGCAACCCCACATGTACACTTGAGCACAATAATCGATATATTGGTACTGTTATTAAGGTATTGAATTCGACTGTATCCCGGAGTCGTCTGAGTATAGCAAGGCCCGCCGTGAGGTGAGGAATGTGTTCAACCCGCGCGGTCCAGTTTAGAGACTCGATCGTCTATCATTAGGCCCAGTGGTTTTGTTGTCTCAACTTTCTTAATTTCTAAATTACCTATACGTTGATAGCAGGATCGGCAGTCACTTGACTAACCTTTTCTGGGAACCAATTATCATATATTCGGTTTTACTATTGTTCTGGGGCCGGTTGTATAAAAAAGTGATTAAAGTTAACTATAGTTAGTGGAAACGTCATCCAATAAGAAGCGCGTATTTGAGAGTTAATCACTATTTAACTACAAAATAGTGATTAAAAAAGTGATTAGGAGTTTTATACAACCGGCCCCAGACTGTTAATTTATTTGCGGACAGCAAACTTGCATCGGTATATCTCAGCGTTGGTGCTATTGTGGCAATGATTACTTTAATTAATATCGTCACTTGATGTTGCAATTTGGGTATCATCCGCAAACATGTCTGGTTTTGTCCCAGCGTTTAAACATTTTGGTAAATCATTGATGTAAATTAGAAATAACAATGGGCCTAAACCAGAACCTTGAGGTATGCCTGTTTTCATAAGTGATGGACTTGATAGTTTACCATTCACACAACAGTACTGGGTCCTATTTGATAGATACGACTCCAGCCAGCGATGTGCCGTTCCTTTAATATTCCATAAATTGCTATTTTTTCTAAAAGTATATTGTGGTCGACAGTATCGAATGCTTTTTTCAGATCCAGAAACACTGACAATCCCATTTAGTTTCCCAATGTCAATATTTGTATACCACTCGTTGGTTATGTCCAGAATGCTGTAACAGTTGAGTGAAGTGGTCTAAATTCGTGTTGGCAATTTCAAACCAGATTACAGTTATGTAAATAATTATAGATTTGGTTATGAATCAGCTTTTCCGCAATTTTGGCAACTACTGATATATTGGTCTGTAGTTGACTGGTTGAATATTGATAGTGTTAAGGATAGTGAAATCAAATAACTGTTGCCGACATTTTTAGGATACGAGAGGAGATACCATTGATTCCTGATGCCTTATTGGGCCCTAAATCATGAAGTAGTTTCATAACATCATTTTCTGAAATTTCGTGAAAGATAGGGAGCCCATTAACTGGATGGTGTACAAACTATTTGGGGCGTCTCACTCGATCGAATTAATGTTGAAGGATTTTGTAGCTGGAAATTTCCACTGTAAATGTTATAGGAGCAGCTGTGAACAATGCAAGCCCCGTCTGGCAGGAAGCGAACCTGCGGTCCTGAACTCTGTAGCTCATGCAGTTGCTTAGGCGCTGCGCCGGACTAGTTGCATTTTTCGCAGCTGCTCCTTGTTAGATCTAATACAAATGTATAAAATTTCCATTTATAAAATCCTCCAATAGTACAATAATGCGATCGTCTTTTCTATCCTTCCAATTAATAAGGATTGGTCAAGTCAGCTGTAATAAGCATATATCGACCATGTTCAAGAACCTCTTCCATATTTCCATAATATTTCTTGTAAACAAACGGTAATAGCTTTTCTGTTTGACAATATCTCCAAGAGTTCATCTAAACTTCCGTCTGATTTAATGCCACGGGCATTCTGGGACAGAGATTCGACTTTCCTAAGTTTCCTTCCTATCTTTCCTAAGTATCCTGCAGTTTCGTAGAATGAATAGCTCTTTCCACCAACAGTTTCTTCTATATGGTAATGGTAATGGCAGTGACACATTTATAGTAGCAGTTACGCTAATTTACAATGTGTTTATAATATAAGGATATAAAAAGCGTATATATTCTATATATTTACATCATTCATTAAATATAAAATCTTACTAATCTATATCTATTTACGTTATTCATCAAATGTATAAAAATAGGTACGCAGTGCGTACATGTTGCATGCCCTCTCCTCCACAGAGGCTTTTGCCTTTCCACCCGCGCTACTTCGCCCAGTGGCTCCGCCTGTGTTCCAAGATCCGCCATGTAAAGTGTAGTGAAATGTATCTCATCATAATAAATCATAAGACAACTAACACACAAAATAGATACTGGACCAGAAGTGTCACTCAGACAATATCTTGTCCGAAATTTTACGAGTGCTGACGTGAAAATACACCATCATATGACGCCATCCTGCGTGTCCACTCCAGGATGGCGTTATAGCACATAAAAAATTTCGGATGTTTTCCCAAGCCAAAACACATAGGAGTGTCTCTTCTGGTCTGGTATCTATTCTGTGATTAAAGCCTCTGCGGAGGAGAGTTGCATTCAGGCCGAGTTGTATTCAGGCCGACTTCCATTCAGTGCAAAATATCGGGAGATCAACTTTTTGCAATCACTTTCTTTTGAAACGTGTTGAGTCAACCTGATTAGTTGTATTTCAAAAGAAAGTGATCGCAAAATATTGATCGGCCGACATTTTGCACTGAGTGGGAATCCGCCTTTATGGTCCGCTTATAAATTTTTGTACAACTGGCCCACGGGCAATAGGACAGGTGTAGTGTTGTTAAATAGAAAGTTAGAAATGGTATTATACTTACTCATGCATTATAATTATGTTTAAAAGATCAGAATATTCATAACTTCTTATTTTGTTTCATAAATAGTTCTTTAATATTCGAAACAAATTCCATATCTGCTTTGTCTGCCATCGCCATGTTTACTCGTCCCAATCTACATGCTGCACGGCATTGCCGCCCCTCCTGGCAAAATAATAAGCAAGCGAGAAAAATTAGAAGAAAATAAGAGGGTAGGAACATCGTTGTCATAAGCTGGATGCAGTGACACTTCCATATATGGCACAAACGTATCCATAACTTCCATATATGGCACAAACGTATCCTCGACAATCCTCGACGCGTTTTAAAACGTTTTATTTGACGTAGGGATGACGTAATGCTGCTTCCCGCCTATGACGATTTGAATTAGTCATGTGATACAAGATTGCGAAAGCCGATTCGCCCAGAACGATGACACGCCCACGAAACGCCCACAATGTTCCTACCCTCTTATTTTCTCCTTAATTTTTCTCGCTTGCTTATTATTTTGCCAGGAGGGGCGGCAATGCCGTGCAGCATGTAGATTGGGACGAGTAAACATGGCGATGGCAGACGAAGCAGATATGGAATTTGTTTCGAATATTAAAGAACTATATTTATGAAACAAAATAAGAGCTTATGAATATTCTGATCTTTTAAACATAATTATAATACATGAGTAAGTACAATACCATTTCTAACTTTCTATTTAACAACACTACACCTGTCCTATTGCCCGTGACTGGCCTGAAACTTAAAGACCGTGTTATTAAAGTCCGTTCTGCGCATACGTGCTGCGCAGGCTTACATTCCAATGGTCGGGACCAGACCGTTGGAATGTTATTAATATTTCGTATCTTTTGAATTTTCTTGAATTGAATCTCTAGTCTGTATTCATTTACAAGCATAGCGAACCAGAAGAGTGTTAAAAATTCAGTATTATATAGCACTGAGTTCAAAATGTAAACAAAGCGTTTGTTTACATTACGGACTTTATATGGTCTTTAACATATTGATTCAATAAGTTTAATATCAATATATTTATTGAAAGATAGCTATTACGTCAAAATAACAAAACTTTTTCAAACTTTTCGCGACTGTTCATCTGTAGTGGCAAGGGACGGTAATAACAAGGTCAACAGGTCAAGGTTTTATCACAGACTTGGTATGATTAACTATTCGAAGTAAACAATGTTTATATTTTACTACAAATTTAGGTTTATTGCGGCTTACTGACAGTATAACAACCCGTGGAAACCGTGAATTACTATAATAGATTGAAAATAATTATTAAACTATGATCTCGACTATGATTGAAATTATCGAAGTAGAATGCTTAAATGCTATTTCGTTCAATAATGTATTATTAAATTTCAGTAGACAATAGTTCATGTTATTTACAGAATGCGATGTAATTTTGAAATTTGAAGTTTTACACACAATATAATCAGTGCTAGCACAATAGCTTCGTTTCAATTTGAGCATATAAAAAATTAGAATTTTGCGTGGTCTTTCACAAACATATTAAACGCCTGATAATTGATACAACGGCAGCAAAATAATAACAAATAAAACAATATAAGCTAAATTAAAAACAGCAAAGCTTTACCTACCTCGATCTATTTTTCTAAGGCGCTAATTTACGTAAATTTTCGACGAAAGCGGTGAACAAAAGCGTGCATATTTATTGTTTCAACTTTCACAATTCACATCACTGTCATCATATGAAAATGCTCGTCGGAAAAACTCGGTATTTGTCGTATTTTACTAATCTATCACGTGATTTACCACCGCCGGTACAACGCACAACGTACACGACACGAAATTTAGAGCTATATGAAAGTTATGGGCACTACTACTTGCATACCTATTTGTACATCTTCTACTAACTGATAAATTATACACTGAAGTATATAGAGTAAACCAAAGGACTATGTCTATGTGAGACTACTGAGCTTCTTATCCCTTCAAGCCCATATGTGATAACATAATATGCACGGGAAATGGCTAGTCCATCCAGTGTTGCCTAGCTGTTTTGCTCCGCTCTCTTAAATTAATGATCTTAGTATTTCTGCGGATGAGAGATACAACTACCAAATAACCTGGCCTCTTCGTCAGGAAGTTATTATCTCTATTACCTTTGCTCAAAACGTTGAAGTTCTGCTTGTATTTTTCAGGTAGTTGTATTTCTGATTTCTCTCAATCCGCAGCTATCTTGTCATTATCGTTGCGGCTACCTACATTGGCACAGACCGTCCGACGGTCCGAGATTAGTGTTTTGTTAGTTAATCAGTCATAATACTTAACTCTCTTCATTAAATTGAGGCTGCATGGTTTACACTATCAAAGTTTCTGTGATCACAGTAGGAATTTTGCATATAGGTAAGTTTTGAAGAATTTGTATGAAGAAATCTTTGACGGAACTTACTTAGTGTTAAACACTGACAGTGTTCAAACATTGTTACAAATCCTAGTTCAACCCACAGGATAGGACGTGCACGGTAAGCAGATCGATGAGATTAATTTAAACTACTTCCTATGTTCAGCCAGTGTTGAAGTACCAGGCTTTTCATGGATAACAATCAGGATTTTAATTTTTCCTTGTACAGTCGGTGTAGTACTTCGTTATTTAATTTCCACAGGATATTGTTGTTCGTTTAGGAACGGTACAGATTGAGTTTGCTTGGCAGGGCGGGTATAGGATCCAGGGGCGCTGGAGCCACGGGGGCAGCGGCCCCCGCTGCCCTAACAGTGCGGGGGCAGTGCGGGGGCAGTGCAGGGGCAGTGCGGGGGCAGTGCAGGGGCAGTGCGGGGGCAGTGCAGGGGCAGTGCGGGGGCAGTGCAGGGGCAGTGCGGGGGCAGTGTAGGGGCAACTGGTTGGCCCGTTTTGTGACAAGAAAAAATTACATGCGACAAAAAAGGATAATATATAGAAATATTTGGCTGAAACTGTCAGACTTCATCAGCTACCAAAATATGACACCAATATACTTTAAATTTTCACTGTTTTTTTTGTGTTGTACGTGACATTTATTTCAAGGTTATTAAGCCCGATTTCTGCTCCACGTTACAAGTAGATGATCTCGGAGCACCTGAACAATACTCAGATTGCAAACAAAATTAACAACGGCTCCCTTGAACATCTTCAAGAATTTCAACTCTTGAGAGCAATAAACCAAACCGTCCACACAACGTCAACCGTCCTTACGGTCTCTGACCTCGAAGTTTATAAATGTTTAAAATCCCTTAACCCCTCCAAGGCAAGTGGGGGCCCTGATGACATCCCATCTTGGTTACTATAAAGAGAGAATGAGATTTTCCTGTCGTGAAAATCTTAAATTAAATTGTTCGTTTAAAAAAAAAACTGCCAAATATCTGGAAACTGGCCAACGCAATCCCTGTTCCAAAATCGACGCCAGTTCAGCATAAAAACCAACACCTTCGTCCAATCTCCCTCACTCCTATTCTCTCCAAAGTAGCAGAAGATTTTGTTGTGAATAAGGAGTTGAAACCAGCTATCCTAAAAATCTTAGACCCAAACCAATTTGGTGTGATCCCTGGCTCTTCCACAAGCCATGCCCTTATATAAAAATGATCCACCGATGGACGGAAACAACAGATGGATCGGGACCCTACTGTCAGAGTGGTGCTGTTTGATTATCAGAAAGCGTTCGATTATGTTGACCACTCCATTATTCTTGAAAAATTAAAATCTCTAGATATTTCGAACGACACAATTAACTCGATCGCAGACGTCCTGACTAATAGAAAACAACGGGTTAAACTTGGCGGTGATTGCTTCTCGGAAGGGAAAACGTTCCCGCTGGTGTCCCACCGGGAACAAAACAGGACCTTGGCTTTTCGCCTTAATGATCAACGACCTCAATACAACTAGTATACGTGTCGATGACGAAATCAAATTCGTAGACGTACGACCTTATAATTTTAGAATCTGTGCCGAAATTCGTTCCAAGCAACATCCAGGATATGTTGTGTACTTGACAAGGATATCATACAGTTTTATACCACCCGTATTCGTCCCATTCTGGAGTACGCCTCGACAGTGTTTCACTATGCTCTACCAAAATACTACGTCAGTGATAAAATCGAACGCGTTCACTTCCGGCGCCCCTGATAAGATCTGAATTCAATATCGCTGTT